TAATTAATTAAAATAACTCCTAAATTTCTATATTTAAAAGCTTGGATAAGTGTGTAAAATGTAGGGGTGTCCAAAAGTCTCAAATCGAATCGGACCGAACCAAACCCGAACAGAACTGAATCGAACCGAATCGAGCGATTTTTCATAAATTAAATATCCGAACAGGTACCCGAATCGAGAATCGATGGGTTTGAATCGGGTCTTGGGTCCAGACCAAGAACCGAAGAATCGAAACTAAATAATTTTTTTATTTTTTTATTGTATTAATTAAATTAATTTATTTTTTATACAAATTAGCAAATTACTTAAATAAATTAGATTATTTCATAATTTCAATTTTAAAGCCCAAATCATTTTTAAAATCCATTAAACCATTTTAATTTGAAGTAAATTAATATACTTTATGTAGTTTTGCTGTAATCTTAATATCTATTTTTTGATATTTGTATGCATTGAATTAATCTTATTGGACGGCTAGTTATGTATATGTTTTTGAACTGGGCTACGTTAATTTGTAAAAATTACGAATGAAATGTCATTAGTTGTATTTATGTAGTGCTGCTGAAAATATTAAAAAATTTAATTATGATACGGAATTGAACGGAACGGAACCGACCCGACCCAAACGGAACCGAATCCGAACGGTTCCATAATTATATTTGGACCCGACGTGTCCATTTATTAAATACCCGAAAGTTTTGGGTCGATTCAGGTCTCTTCAGAACATAACCGAACCGACCCACGGACAGCCCTAGTAAAATGTACTTATCAAACATCAAATAGAGGCTTAGAGTATCTAACACATTTAATTTTTTTTTTTCGATTTAAGTTTTTATTGGTGATACGAGTGTACATGATTATTGACATGAAGGATCAGGGCATCGAGAGTACCTTGATCAGATGCGATGGATACAAATTGATGTATCTCTAAGAAATGATCGTTTGAGGAATCAAGTCAATATGATTAGACGTGAGATTGAATTGAAGTTCTTTGAGCATGTGGCAAATGATTGTTCCATCCATCTATTGCGACCATGAGATGTGGTGAAAATAAGGTTCTAAAATGCGTGAAAATGTGTTCGATCAAGCATTACAAGCATATGCATGTTTATGCAAAGCATGTGTAATTAACTAATTATGCGTATTTCATTTTTTTATATTCGAATTTTATACTCATTCTTCAAAAAAAAATTTTAAAAAAAATATTGTTCAAAAGTATAGATACTACAATTACTTGTGCTTTATGCATATTCTACAAATTTTCAACAAAAACATATTGCTTAAAATTATAAACGCTACAATTACTTGGTAATCAATTCCTAAAATTAGAGTAGACATAAACACTGATTTTAAAAGATCCTAAATTTTTTTTTTTTTAATCAAATTTCAATTCAATCTCTTCCTCTTCATCAAATACAAAATCATCTTCATCGGGCTCCCTTATTTCAACTCAATAATTTATACTATCTCTTGTAGTTCGTAAGATATTATTGTCAACATCCTCCTCATAATCGCAGCCATCAACAATCCAAGATTGTGCATTAGTAATATCACTTGCCAATAAAACTAGATAAAGATCGAAAAATAGAAGGATTGGCATGGCATAGATAGTTTGAAACTCTATAAAAAAATTGTTTTGATTTTTTATTTTTCTAAGCATTAAGATCCTAGAGATAGTTTTTTTTTTGTCTGTGTGTGTGTGTGTATATATGAAAATGAGTGGACTTTGTTATGCTAATTTTGACATAATTTTTATTTTTTTTTACCACAAATGCGTGCAAATTTGAATGTTTAAGCATACATACGATCAAAGAAATGGGTTGATCACATTATCCTTCACATAACCTATATGCGATGATTTTCGAAAATGCCCCAAGCATTTGCAAATTTATGCTAAGCATATGCGTACATTTTAAAACTGTTTACAAGCTAAGCATTCCTAAGATGAAGTAAACAGTTTCCTCTCACTAATATCCTCAGTCCAGCACGGGAAGCCAAGCCCCACATGCATGGCCCACATTCATGTTCCACTTCCCCACCAAAGGTGAATACCGTCGTAGGATGGCTATGAAACCGCATACATGGTTCAGCAAAGGTATAAGGGACAAACTAAAAAACTGTATTTAAGCCATTTTTATCTTATTCGAGCAATTAATTAATTGTCACGCCGGAGCGTACACGGATGAGATCCAAAATCAGGTATCTTCAATCGCATCCCGAATCAAAGCATCATAATTTGGCAAATAATTAAATGTCTTTAAATAGTTTTGTAGGATAGTGAGTCACATTTTCACATACCTGCAAGAATACATTAAGAGCTTGTTTGTGAGAGATTTTTTGGGGAAGAATTGATTTTGAATAGTGATATGATGGGAAATATGTGGTTGAAAAAGAAGAAAAAATTATTGATGTGATGGAAAATATTATTTTATTGAAGAATGTGTAGTTGAAAATGAGAATTATAGTGATATGAAGGAAAATATGTGGTTGAAAAAGAAGAAAAAATTATTGATGTGATGGAAAATATTATTTTATTGAAAAATGTGTGGTTGAAAATGAGAATTGATTTACTGTAGAAAAATTTAATCCCTTCCAAACAGGACCTAAAGTCACATTGTCAAGTGCTCAATGTGTTAAGGATATAATCCTCAACTTAAACTTCGAAGCTTTTGTTCAACGGTTGGCTAGAAGATTAGCCAATACTACTTCGCTTGGAGGAGAATTAACAATTTGAGGTAGAGGACGTTATTTTCCAATTCAAGAATACACAAAGGCACACTCTCCAAAAGTCAATAAGCAAGTATAATTTTGGGCCACGTATAATTATTTTAAAAAAGACCATTTTTCTTGATTCTTTTTGAATTAGTGGTTTGATGTCTATAATTTGATCTCGATCTCGACTGTTCAACTAATCAAAGCACCATAGATCTCTATTAAGAAATGCCATAAGTCGTGCTTTATAAATTTTTTTTTTTTTTTAACATTTAGAGCATGTTTGATATACAGTTTAATAATTTTGAACATACGACAAACAATGTCTTAACTTATTCTCTTCAACAATTCCATCAAGTACAATCCAATTCAACCCACCAAACATCTATAGGAATAAAGGAAACAAATTAACTTACTTTTATTTAGGGAGTGTTTGACACCCAAACAAGGATATTAAGTGAGTGTTTGACATTCATTTTAATGGGTTAAAAAATTTTGGAATAGTGATTGATGAGAGAATGTGTGGTGGAAAAGTGATGAAAAGTTTTAGATTTGTGTGTAATATTATTTTATTTGAAAATTGTGTGGTTGAAATGAAAAAAGAGAATGAGAATGAGAAAGAGAATGGGTGCCAAACATGGGCTTAGTATTTTGGCCTAAGTTCTTTCATTCTTATTGAACTACCCATATCCATTTTATCCTTTAGAAACATATCACATTCCAAAATGTGAAGCAGGGGAGTCGATTGTGTGCTTTGAAGGAAACTTGTTCAATTTGAAGTAGAATTTTGATAGATAAAAGGAGGAATTTACTTTAATAAAAGAGTAATTGTGAACCCTTTAGATCATTCGAAGAGTGTTGGGTTAATTGAATTGAATAATACAAAAGCATTGGTATACCCCACCATTTCATGCCATTATTATTCTCAATATATCTTTTGGCATGAAGGTGTCCTGCTAGAGTATTCCGGGGGGATCTATGGTCAAAGGAAGTTGAGACATCAATTTATTTCCTAAAAAATATGGTCCTCCATCATGTCCTTGTCTACGTCTGTCTTTGTCTTGTACCACTATGGCCACCATCAACTTATCAAAGATCAAGCAAGTATTCAAATAGTCAAATTAATTTTGGTCAACATTTGATAATAATGTTAAAAAAGGAGCTAATAATATTCAGGGATAGTACTAATACTATTGGTCCTCAACTTCATGCCTGAGTAACAATATAGTCTTCAATCTTTCAAAGTCCCCGTTTGGCCCCCTTTGTTAAGATTATAATTTTTGAAATAGTGTTTTTCTTTTAAGAATGTGTGGTTAATTTTTTTTTTTTTTAAATTTATCTGTAATATTATTTTTTTAAAGAATCTGTGGTTGGTAAGAAGAAAATAAAAAATTGATTATAATTTTAATAGGGATCAAACGAGCTTAAAATGAGCAAGGTGATTATCAATCGTGTCTATAAATGATGCACAATCAATTTTCAATAATAGACAATGTTTAAATCTTCATTAACTTGAAAAATAAAAGCTAGCTTCATAAATTTGGTACATCACGATCACGCAATTTAAGGCCATATTTGAGCCACATTATTATTTTCATTCTCATTCTTTTATTCATTTTTAGCTACATATTTTTTAATAAAATATTATTTTCTATCATATCAATAACTTTTCCTTATTTTTCAACCACATATTCCCCATCACATCAACAGTAAAAATGCATTCTTTTTTCCAAAAATGTTCACAGGGGCTAAATGAGAATTGAATCATTTTAGTTCACTATAATGAAAGATAAAATACAATTTACTTCAAGACAATGGACTAATATAACCCATGAAAAATATAAGTGTATGACATACACATTATGAATAAATTTAAGCATGCCTTCTATCTACGATTACACACTAATAACAACATTGCATTTTTAATAAAATAATAATCATTTTTAATATTTGCACTTATTTCAAGAATTTTTATAGAAGACGACACAAATTGGCACGTTCAGCTTGTGTTATGTAAAAGTCGATAGTTACTTGTCTACACATATAATTACTAATTGCAACTCTCTTTATACTGCCAATCCTATTCTACTAAAATCTCGCAATGCAATAGCATAAAATGAAGACCCGAGTTTTATTTCCACACAAAAAATTCTATACAACAAAAAATTCTTACTTACAAGAATACATACAGCATTACAATTCCTTGTGTACTTATATCATGATACCTAGTTTCCATTTTTTTTCTTTTATTTTCCCATTTTACCCTCACGACAAAAACAGAGTTTCAATCAAGGACAAAATCGAAAAGGAACGACGTCGCTGCACGCAAAATCATCCGAATTTGCAGTTGTGTCCTCTGGCCAGGAGCCCCGGAGCAATTTGAGGAGCATTTGCGCTTTACGCTTTGCTCTCTCTGTACAATCACTCTGAACAAGCAACAGCAGCTTAGTCAACAAGCCGGCGGCCAAGGCTTCACGCTGAGTCAGCTCGGAGGCGGAGCAGAGTGAGAGCAATGCTCCGACGGCATACTCAGTTGCACGGTCGGAGATTTTTAGAATGATTTTCACCAAAATAGGTACTACTGTCAGCGAGTCGGCCGCGAACGCCGCGCAACCAGAAGGAATTCGACAGAGC